ACCCATTTAGAGAAGCAAGATGTAGCAAACAACACAAAAGCATCAGCTTTCCATATCACAAAAAACAAGGGAACAAAAAAAGTATTTTTCTGTTATCAAAAAGCTAAAGAACATAACTTTATTTTAACTCTGATACCAGCAGAAAAAGGTGTTTCAGACCTCACTGTAAAACCTTCTGTTGCTGGCTCTGKAAGTTATTGGTACAATAAATGCTGTAAACAAAATATGCATTAGCATTGGTGCTTGTAGAATTATAGTCTCATTGTCACCCAGGCTCCAGCTATTGCTTATTTCATCAAAAATTGGAAGAAATTTCTAGTGATTCCTCTGCAGTTTCCCAAGGGAAAATAGTCAGCAGTGAGCAGTACAAAGGACACTAGAAAAGCTACTGGTGTTAAGAAAATATGTCTTTTCTTTATAGTTCTTAAGAAACTACAGATAAGATACTAGWGTCAAAAGCATAAATTCAGCATCCTTAGAGCCCTGAACAACTTCTGTTCACATAAGGTAACCAACGTTTCAAAGGCCAGTGAATGAAGGGAATGAGGTTCATCAGTGAATGAAGGGGATTCCTACAGTCTGGCTTTCCCAGAGAAATAGCAAAGTCCCTACTATGGCTCACAGCTCTTCTCAGATTTTTCAAACAGCTCAGGCTGCAGTGCTAACATGAAAAGCAAAAGGAGCAGAAACCCCAGCTCTGCCTCCTCCACCAGATTTAGGCTGGGTGTTACTGCTGGGAACTGCTGCCCCCTGCTGTCACACAACAACAGGCCAAGTTAGTCAAAAACATGTTTAATGCTACACAAAAATAAAATCCCCCATGTTAAGAACCAGCAGGTTACAGGGTAGGTTCTTCATAGACCTCAAGTGGGACCAGGCCCCTCAGTCATAAAACACCCGGTCCTTCTTGCAGCACACCCTGAGAGGCTTCTTGTAAGCCAAACTCAGCCTAAAGCATGATTTTAGCCAGCCCATTCCCTTTGCTGCAGCTGTTTCATAGGCAAAAGCATTCAGCTGTTAGCCTGCTCAGAAAAACACCTCTATCTGCCTGCAAATCTTTGTAATGGATTGTGAACATCACCAAGGAAAGTGCCAGCCAATATCCTGCCCTCAGCCCAGGATCTGGACTAGCCTGAAGGAATAAAATATGTTGCCTTCATCCCCATGAGACCAGATGTGCTTCCTTCCTTGTCACAGTGACAGTGCCACCATAAACACTGGCCAGATGGGGAAGCCTAAGCGAATTAGGTTTACAAATGTTTTGAAGTTGAGCAAAGACTGAGGTCTGCATATACTACATAAGGATACTCTGCAGCTCTCAGGCAGGAAAATCTTGGCCTTGTTTTCCTTGAGGTCTATATGTGCTCACAATAAACAAAAACAACAGTGTAAAGGAAAGGGAAGACCCACTGTGCTTCAGAGCCCAGCTCCAGCCTGCCCCCAGCACTGCAGCACCCAGTTTGCACTGGGCCCACAGTGGACACATCACATCTGCCAACTTACTTGACTTCCTCACCAGCAAAATCGAATGTTTTGGTAATTGTCACTTTTCCTGAATCTTTTGGCTTCTCCTGAGGSTTATTTCCACTCTTCTCTTCTTCAGCCTACAAAATACATGAAGGAGAAAGCAAAATAATGCATTTGTGGAGCTAAGCCAAATCATCATTCCAAAGGGCTGAAGGCCCAACACAGACCTTGGGTAGCACAGCAGTAAAGGCTGGTAGTCAAAGCAAGTCACCCACAGACAAGGAAAAGGAAATAAATACCCCTTCCACCAGAGTGAAATTCCCCATTTTTGTTCCAGGCTCTCAGTRAAGCTCTCGGATCAAAACAAACTCAAAACAAAAGTGAAATTGTAATAAATGTAGGAAGRAGCAAGAACACACTGCAGTGGTTCAGAAAGCAAGAAAAAGCCTGGAGACTTGGTTCTCCCAAACTAAACACCACCAGCTAGTAAAGCTGCCAGGATGAATTCCATAAAAGTATGTTTATTTTTACTCAAGAATAGAGRAGAACACAACCCAACAGCAGAAAAAGCAATGCTGATCTTCACACTTGTCAATAAGACCTCTTTAAATTGAGAAGGGAAAATCTTTATTAAGCAATTTGTCAACAATGCCTCTTAATTTACTCAGTCACAGCTTCTAAAAGCACACATAAAAAACTCAGACTGTAACTTACTAAAACAGAACCCAAATTCTTGCTCTAAATCAACCACACAGCACAGAGATCTTCAAGCAGACACTGCAAGCCCAAGTTTAGAAGTTCACAAAGAGAACAAACTGCATGTCTCCATTAATTATTCCAGGCTATGGAGGAACTTTCAAAGACATCTCACATTTCAGAAACCTGCCCATAACGTGGAATTGCTCAGAAGAAAACATTCACTTCTCTTCTTCCCTCTGACTTTACCTGTAMCCAGTAACTCAGTTACCTGTAACCTTTAACGCAGTTGCTCAGCCAGTAATAAGGACAAGCAGGAGGGCTAAGATGAAAGGACTCTTCTTCCAAAAGTTGCAGTCAAATATTACACAGCTATACTTACTCTGCAACCTTCCAACAGTCATAGAAAGAAGCTTCACACAGTCAGACTGACCAGTCAGACTCCAGACTTCCGTTACCGAACACTTTTTTTGGCTGACTATTTAAAAACCTCCAGACTTATAATTCTAGCAACAGAGGCTCAGGTTTGGTATGTTCTTTGCTTCTACCACCTTAAGCATGAAAGGCTGTGAAAGGCAAACACCTGCACTTGGTTTTACTGAGAACCAAATTCTTTCAAACACCTACCACACACAGAATTCTCTCTCCAGAGAAACCTCTGCTGACTGAGAACACCTTACTGGGGCTTACAGAGGACACAAGAAAGTCAGATTCAGTCTTGCTACAAATGTGCAACATGCAGCACCTTCCAGATCCCCTCACGGTATGAGGGTGGAAGCACAGAGATGCCAACACAGGCCTCTCTCATTTCCCCTTTCACTCACTCACACACACACAGAGCCTCCCCCTTTTTTTTTAAAAAAGCATTAAGAAAGGCACAAGTCTCAGGGAGAGCTATGTCCACAAGCACAACTCTGACCAGAGCTCATCATTCCTGTGTCACAAGAGGAATCCAGGACCAGGAAGAAAAGCCAAYAGAGCTGTGTGGGACACTCTGAGATGCTGCCAAACAGCTCCAAAAGCAGCATAGACAGATCACAGATCTCCCTTTGGAAGGAAACCAGCATCTTGCAGTCTGGCTCATCAGGGGATGCCAGTCTTAAAAAGCAGAGGGGGCAGGGGCGAAGCCAGCCTCTTCYCAGCTCTGTCTAACACCTGATAGCAGCCAGAACCAAGACAGTGTGCTCTAAACCTTCAGGCCCTTCCCACACTCCCTGGGTGCAGGCCAGGTCCCCATTACCTTCTTGGTTTGTGTCACTGGCGTGGCAGCTTTGGGTTTCTGTCCTACATCACTGAGGAAACTGGCCCAAAGAGCATCCTCTTTCTTTTTTTCTTCTTCTTCTCTGCTTCTTTCTACTTGCTCTACATTATCCACTTCCTCCTCTTTCTGATCCTCTCCATTCTGCTGAGCCTTTTCTTCCTCTTTCTCATCTGGCTCTAGCAAGAGACCGCCTTTCTTCCTTTTTCTGAAAGCAGATGCCAAAAAAAGAAGAAAAAATGTATACGGAGCTGCTGTAACACTATTCCAGAGTTAAACTGTAAGCTTGGGTGAAGCAATGCAGTATTTAATATTTTCACTAAGGTATTCAGTCTGGGAGGTTCTCTCTTAACCTTGGGAGTGTATGTATCTTATTAAAAGATGCTGCTGCTCATAAAATGCAGCAAGACTGGTGCAGGCARTGCCCCTGGAGTGAACTGGCCTGTGTGCATGTGTTTCTGGGAGTACATAATATCAAACGTGCTGAAACACTAGAACAGGCTGGTGAGGAAAGCTYYGGTTGCCCCACTCCTGGAAGTGTTTAAGCTCAGGYTGGATGGAGCTCTGAAGCCATCTGGTGTAGCAGAAGGTGTCTCTGCCCATGGCAGGGGGGTGGAACAAGACAGACTTWAAGGTCCTTTCCAACCCARACCATTMCAGAGTCCTGTGCTTTTGGGATAATGCAGGAACCAGGAGGGRAGGAGAACTTGGGCTAGAGAGAAACCAACCTCAGCTAAACTGTCTACATACTTATATCAATGGGAGAACCCCCCGTACGTGCGTGCTTTGCACTTAAAAAGGTTMATATAAACAACTCCTGCCGGAAAAGGTTTTCAGGCACGATGTCTATGGGGCCTGAGGTTCTCCGCTCCTACCACTAAACCGGAACGCAGAACAGCGTTTCCCGTTCCTCCGCCCCTCAGCGCACAGCGCCAGCCCCGAGCCGGATCCCCGCGGCCGTACCTGCTGCCGGGGCGGCGGGGACTCCTCCTGCCGCGCGGTGCCCGGGGGCTGCCCGCCGGCTCCTCCTCCCGCACCAGCTCGCTCTCATCATCCTCGCTGTACTCCGCACCTGCAAGCACAGACAGTGAGCGCCGGGACCGCAGGTACCACCGGCTCCCGCCCGCCGCCACTCACCTGAGGGCACATAGTCGTCATCCTCGGCCGAGGAGTACTGCTCCGACTCCTGCTCCGACTCCGACTCCGACATGGTGCAGCCCCGGCCCGCCGCCTCGCGCGCCCGCCGCCGCCCAGAGCGCCGCTGCCTGCCGCGCGCGCCCCCTGGCGGACAGGAGGAACAACCGCGCCTGCGAGGCGGCGCCGCGCGCAGGGAGCAGCGACGAGAGACCTCCAGGGGGCCAGAGCGTCCCGCCAGCCCCGCCRGGGRCTCCCAGCATTCTYTGCGGCACACAGCCGTTCCCATGGCAGCGCGGGGTCGGGGCGGGGCCCGGCTGCCCGGAGGCCGGCGGTGATTGGCGATAGGCCCTGTCTGTCAGCGAACAACGCTTCCCATTGGCTGAGACGGGCGGAAGGAGGCGGGCGGAAGAGGAGGTGGCGGATGGCGGCGGCGGGGCGGGTGCGGGGATGGAGGGYGGCGAAGCGGGCGGCGGTGGCGGGGGGCTCCTGCAGCAGATCCTCAGCCTTCGCCTCGTACCCCGCGTGGGCAATGGCACCACCACCTACTCCAGCCCGCTCTCCACTTTCCCAGGTATCTCCCTGCTCGGAGCGGGGCCTGCCCGCCGGGGCCGCTKGAGGCCCGCGGGCCCCGGGCCGCCCTCACAGCCCTTCTCTCCGCAGAGATGTGGTACGGCGTCTTCCTGTGGGCACTCGTCTCCTCCCTCGCTTTCCACGTCCCGGCCGCGTTGCTCGCCCTCTTCACGCTCCGGCACCACAAGTACGGCAGGTTCATGTCCGTGAGCGTTCTGCTGATGGGCATCGTGGGACCCATCACCGCCGGCACCCTCACAAGTACGGCAAGTGCCCGGCAGTGTCTGTCGGGTKATCGGTGGTTGTCTYTGGGAGCGCGTGGAATGGCAGTGTKCCTCGGGACGGAGATTAACGTTCTGGCTCTGTTTCCCCCTTGCCCCACGTTTGAACGAGATGGACCATACCCCATCTCGAGCCCTGTGTCGGGCATATCAAACGTGCTCAGCGGGTGCAGAGCCAAAGGGGCTTTCAGATTTCTGAGCACGTGAAGGAAAGTTTCTCAGAGGTTTGGTKTCAGTGCCCAGAACTGGGTAATGTTTACAGCCTGTGGGTTGTKGGTGGGGGATCTTGTGACAAGGGTATGTCCCAAACCACCTCAACTCCCATATCTGCTGGAGGCCTCAGCAGAGTCTCAGCACCAGTTCACCCACAGTCACCAGCATACACTAGTTACTGGCTGAGGTTTGTCACACATCCCCAGCCCAGCATTCTTGCCTGCTGGTGTGCAGGGAGGGGTTCAGACCCCTGTGTTACCGCCCCAGTCTCTCATCCTGAGGCTGCCCGTTCATTCCCGTGGCAGAACAGCTGTCTCACATTCATGTCTCGGCTTTTCCCACTCTCCACAGGTGCTGCCATTGCTGGAGTTTACAGAGCTGCGGGGAAAAAAATGATTCCCTTTGAGGCCCTCATTTTTGGCGTGGGCCAGACATTCTGTGTGGTGGTGGTTTCGTTCCTGCGCATTTTGGCCACTCTGTAGCTCCTCTGGAGAGGCTGGAGAACACAAACCAGAGTGGGGGYGAAGGACCCACTGCCTCAGAACAAATCACAGGGAGCACATCTCCAGCCTTGTGCTTCTTCCACCGACTTAAGGAATTTGGGAGGGCTTGCTCCTTCCTCCAGCGTGGCTTGAAATTTAAAAATTGTGAATTTTGTTACTTTTTGGTAACATTAAGTGCCAAGTGAAACTTTATTTCTCTGGAGGGTAGGAAAACGGCTTCCAGAGGAGGAGACCCGGGTACCTTTCACCAGTGATGARTTGTAGTAATGGAACATAACTGAGATGTGACACCAGCTGTGCTGGGGTAGGAAGAACCAGAGTGACATGGTGTCCTCAGAGCTCACTCATTGCTTTGACCTATTGTTGCTTTGTTTTCAGTGAACCTGAAGCTCTTTTAATGTCAGTTTTTTAAATTAAAAATTAATTCGTTTTCTTCCTGTCCCAAACTTCTTAATACCAGGTCATAGCCATATTGGACTAGGGGACAGCAAAAGGAAAACTCGTTTTAGATGGATGAGAGTGCAAATTTGTGTCTGGGAGCTCTGGCTGTAAATGCTGCACAGGGGAAACGACTGGTATTAAAAATAYAGATTTTTTTGTGAATTTTATTACAGTGAAGCCTTTCGGGCCCTGTGAATGTTCTGCCCAGAGGCAAAGCACAGAGGAATGYGTGCTCCAGAAATCCCAGGGTGTGCATGTGTGTGTGCAAGGCTTCTCCTCAGGCTTTGAAGGAGGCTTGTGTTTTCAAATGTCCCTCTTCTCCTTTGACTTGCTGATGCTGTTCACRTTGGTGCAGTGGAACTGGGTGTCTGCACTGATCTGAAAATGGTGCTGGCCAGCTTGGATAMAATYCCTTGTGCTGCTGCTGAGAGCTGCATGGCCAGGCTGGATTGTGACCTGGGGTGTCCCCAGTGTGGGGAGTGCACTGCRTTTTCAGCATCCAGCCAACAGAATGCCAGGGGCTGGGAGAGCTGCAAGGCTCCTGGCAGGAGCCTGGGTGATTCCTGTGTTCATGTGAACACAGCCCCAATACAGGCAGTACTGTCTCCTCGTGAATTGTTTTATTTTGTTTTGGTTTTAAGTGACTTAACTAATTGGTAGCTCTGTGCTCGTGTCAGAGTTGTGCTACGTGCCTGGGGCACTTGAGCAGCTAATTGAGTGCTTCCTGAGGGCTTAGTTCTTTGGGGAAACTGAGGTTGAATCCCAGGGATGTGGGTGGGCAGTGTAGCCACCCCAAGGGTTTGCTGTGGTCTGTGTTTATTCCTAGCTCACACAGTGTGGAGGGAAAGCACTGTCTGTGTCCAGCCTGTCAGGGGACAGTTCCCATCTGTGTCTGCATTGTATTCCTTTGGTTTCCAAATTGGCTGCTTTTGTACCTACAGCATTTYCTAAAGCTGTTTATCTACCATGAGCCCATGTCCTCAGGGCTGAAATGACTGGATGTGGCACTTAGTGCCATGGTCTAGATGATGAGGCGCTGATCAGTCGAAGCGTGGACGTGATCTTAGAGGGCTTTTTTAAGCTAAATTGATTCTGTGATCCTTCAGCAGGGCCCTGTGTTTGTRATGGAAAAGGGTTTCTCTAAGCACAGACTTTCCAGAAGTTGTCTGTCGATGGTGAGAGGTGTTTTCCAGGGGCTGCTTACTGAGATTACTCTAAATTTTAGCCCATGCTAATTCAAGGAATATAGATGTGCATTTTAGGAAAGAATTTAATGTGAATCTTTCTCTTCAGGTGGGTGAGGTCCAAGTGGTGTGACATATACTAAACCCTGGATCTGTGGAGGGCCCTGTGTGCTCTGCTGCTTGTAGAGAGCCAGTCTTCSTGCCAGGACAGAAACAATGAAAATAAGCTTTTTTCTTTTCCCTCTTCTCACTGTGTATTTCAGCACATGTACAGAATGCACATGTTAATTTTCAGGAATTATCCTGTGTTTTCCTGGCTGGATTAAAAATATCTTATGAAACTTAGATTGGGTAGGTTTGGCTGGCTTTACCTTTCAGGTGTCACCAGAAACCAGTGTCCCAAGCACCTGCTGTGCTTTCCWTTACCCTGTCCCGGTGCCTGGCACTGCTCAGTAGCCATTAAGCTGATTGCAACTGAGAAAGCACTTTATTCATGTGCCCCTTGCTACAGAAAGAGCAGGTTTCCTTGCAGGASCAGAGCTGAGGGGTGCAGGACACAAATGGCGCTGTTACAGAGCTCAGAACAAGTGAAAAATKGCTCGATAAAATCACTGAGTGCTGGGTGAACTGAAAGCCTCCTCTTGTYTATCCCTTGGGATCTCCCTAATTCTGTTTTGAGGAGGTTCTGGTTTACTTGAGTTGGCAGCTTGACCCTGTTTGGAGTGTTTGGAGCTGGCAATGTTTCTGTATGCCTGGATGCTGTGAAATTTTCAGGGARTTCTTGCATAAAAAGTGAACAATCAGCTGATTTGTCTTGACAGGTATTAGCACAGGGGGTGAGTTCTTTGTGTCACCTTGGTGCTCACAGAGCATCCTGCACTCCCCTGGCTGCTGCTGGCAGCCTCCCTCTGCAGTAAAACCAGAGCTAAACAGGAAGGACTAGTCTTGAGTRGAAGGACCAGATGGCAGTTGAAGCACTGGTGGCAGTTTCCTCCCCGCATTGGTTTGGCCTTCCCTTTCCATTCCTTTATTCCAAGTGAGGCACATGGAGGAATCCCTTCAGTTTCCAGCAGGTATTGGTAGACTTTGCTCAGTCAAACTTGCCAAAAACTGCAAAGAGCCGGCAAAAACATCAACACTGAGGTGTCYCAGGCTTGGCAGTGCTGTGAGCCTCTGCTGGGGAGCCCAGCCAATGTGCTGGTTAAGAAAACACCTTCTGGAGAATCTACCTGCCCTGGAGGAATACCCACTCAGACCTCAGCCGAGGCTTGTGGTCCTGCTCCCTATGTGTGACATCCCCCCTGCTCCCACCTGGCTTCCTCTCACAGCTTCAGCTGTCATGAACAAATCTTTGTATGATTGAAAATGCTGTACATTTTATTTTTCTACTGACACTTTTAATCCTGGTGGTGATTATCAGTAAATTCTGTAACTCTTGAAGGGAATGAATGTTGTGTCTTTCTTCTGTAGCTCAGCAAGGGGACCTGGGTTGTGGTTTTGGAGATGAGCTGCAGTCCTGCCTCGCGTGAGGCCATTTGCTCCAGAAATGTCCTGGTTGGGGTGGTTTATTGTTGTCTCCATTAGGAGCTGGACCTGCATCTGCAGCCAGGCATCACAGTCTGAGGTGTCACCAAGGTGACACTTTGCTGCTGCTCAGTTGTTTCGAACAGGCTGTTGTCCCTGTCCCTGAGGGGACATGCCCTGCAGCCCCTGGGCTTGGTGCTGACCTGCTCCTGGCCCCTGGGGCTGTTCCCACCCCAGGCCAGTGGCTTTGCTGGAGCCAGTGTTTAGTCCCTGCACATCACTTGGGCTCTACTGGGRGTGCAGGACCCCAGAACTCACCAGACCCACCTCTGGCTAACCCCAGGCCAGAGCAGTACCTGCACTGCAGGACTGGCATTGCTGTTTATTAATGTACACCCTACAGAGATGGGCTGAACAGGTGTTTGTGAGAGGGTGGCAGCTGTGCCTGGTAACCACCGTGTCTTTGCTGCTCCCCCAGACTCCCAGAGAAGTGTGCTCTGAGATCAAAACTGGCCTGAAAAAWTCACATCCCAAGGCATCAAGGATCCAGGAGGTTTTATTGGCAGTAAAAGGTCAACACATTCTCTTGGTTTCCTCGTGTGAGGATGACGGGGGGTCTCAGGTCCTGCGAGAGGGTCTCAAGCCAGGCCATGTAGAGGGAGCTGGGGCAGCGGCCCTTCCTGCCGATGGGTGGAGTGCTGCAAAACAGTGAGGGCGTGAGGCAGGGCCAGCAGAGAGCCTGGCCACAGCCCCTTTCTCAGTCCATTGCAGGTTATTACCCTAAAAAAGGGCAACACCACATCCWYCCCCATGACAGGACCMAGGCYGGAGCCCTTGGTGTCTTCCAAGGGYTTTTCCCTGTGGTGTGKYSCCATCCCACCAYAGCATCAGTGTGTCTATGCAGAATCTCCCTGYCCAGGGAGGGGTGAACATCCAAAGGGACCATTCCCATGGGGCAAGAAACAGGCATTGCTGGCACCTACATGGCTATGAGTGCTGCATCCCGTGAGTAATCCAGCAAAATCTCATTCAGCCTCACTTGTCGGAGTGACTGCAGAGCAAAGAGCATTGAGAAACAAAATAATGCTTCCCAGAAGAAGTGAATTTTGTTTAAAAAGTAGGAGACCCTTTGCAGGAGCTCCCCCGCAATGGCGCTACCTTGGCTCTGTTTTTRTCGACCTCCTCATCAGAAATCTTCCAGGGACAGCCCTGCCTCATCTCATTCACTGTGGCCTCATCTTTGAAGCCGTCGTTCAGCCTGAAGGGAGCGATGAGTTCATCGAACCTCTTGATGCTGCAACACAAGCAGACAGTGCCAAGGAAGAGGGTCTGGGCAAGGAAGAGATTTGGGGGTGCTGGCRGGACAGGGGGAAGGGGATGGTTACTGCTCTGGCCGGGGTTTCTGGTTGATGTCAGGGAGGATGTGGACTTCATGGAAGCCGAGGCGGAACTTGCTCAGCAGAGAGACAATCCTGACAGAGGGAAAGGACACATTTTCCCAAAATTAGCAGAGAATAGTAGCTTGACAGGGAGCTGCCACAGTAGAAAACCCTGCCACTGGCCTCAGTTTGCACTCTTGGGTTTACCCACTCTGCAGCCACATCGATTTCCAGAGAAAAAGGCAAAGCAGCCAGGTCAAAGCCCACAGATCCCATTAAGGCAAAAACTGAGAGGGGGCTCAGCAGGATGGGAAGCAGCTCCTGTCACCACCCATGAGTCAGTAGCAGTGGGCAAGTGAGTAAGAGGTTCAGTGGCCACCAGCACTTACGCCTTCCTCTCTTCGTCCATCCTGTTGATCTGCCCACCGACAAATACACGGATTTTGCACTTTCCCCACCKCTTCTTGCGCCCCAGGAGGTAGGGGATGAGCAGAGTGAGACCTGTCCCCAAAACACCCAATGGTCACCATCAGTGACCCCTGGGTGAGCCCCAGTGCTTCCTTGATGCCAAAGGCTAGGCATGGCCTGGCCCARTTCAGCAGGGACTCAGCCCTCCTGRGCACCACGGTGGCGGTGCTGGGYTCACATTAGCTGGACAGGTGGAAGGTGAACTTTACCTCCGTCATCAAAGAGCCAGTAAATGTCAATGGTCTTCTTGCCCTGCTGGCTCTGGAAGATGGTGCTTGCCTGCTGYTCACTGGCCGAGGTGGTGGGGTCCACTGCCAGGGCAAGAGGGTTCTGGTGTTAGAAAGGGGCACCACTGGCCACAGAAGGCACCACCTCCTCCTGGTCGCAGCCCTGCTCCCCATCAGTGCTTGAAACCCTGGAACCTTCCACAAAATAATCCTCAGAGCTGGGGGTGCTCTGAGCAGCCACAAGCTGGGACCAACCTACCAGTGCCTAGGGCTGCTCTGCTGCCAGTGCCATTCTCAGGGTGCTCTGCTGCCTCGAACGTGGGGTTAACTGAGGAGGGAGGARAAGAGCAAGGGCAGCACAGCAGTGCATCACTGTCCCCATCCCCTTTGATCTCAGCACAGGAGTGATGTCCTGCCAAGACTGTGACCTTCATCTTGGGACATGGTGTTGCCTGGCACATCCCACAACTCCAGCATGTCTCTGAGCATCCCTGGCCACCCAAAACCACTTACCATGTGCCTGCAGCACTCGGGAAACATTCAGCCCTTCCTTCATCCGCATTAAGCACACACCATACTTGAAATCGAAGGCGTCACTGGAAGGAGGGAGGAGAACGCAGTTAATGGAGGGGTGGCACTGCCAGCCCAGCTGACCTTGCACACGCAGCTGCAGCCATCAGCAACCACAGGGCCACCACCAGGTGCCAGTGCCCCCGAGACGGGGAGGAGCCAGCATGGCCGTACTGCAGGATGCCCACGTAGTCCTCCAGGCTCTGTGGAGATGCTGTCCGCCAGTTCCTCTTGTAGCCCAGCACTAAGATGTTAGGTCTCATCTTCCCAAGGCCAGCAGCCTATAGATAGATGTCCCCATGAGACCCCTCTGCAGGGA